ACTTAATGGTGGCATCTTTGTGTCACCAAGGTATTCTGACCTCGTAAAACATGATTACTGCCATCTTTTCTTTGGCTTTGAATTCATGTGAGAGCTCTGTCTTGCAGGATGCTTCTCGTTGGAGCCAGAGAGGGCTACTGGCCACAGATCTTTTCCACAATCCATATCTGCAGACACACACCTTTACCTGCTTTGCTGTTAATGGTAAAGAGCTGTCCACACATTATAAACCAGTCATCTGCGTAAATAAATAGTAAAACGCTTTGAAAATAAAGTACAGAAGACAAGGCGTTGGTCAAAAACTCTCAAAGTAGAATGTTTAATTTCAACCAAGAATAAGTCCTAATATTTTATTGTGAATATCTTATTAAATATATTTAAACTGTATATTTAATTCACCTTAAAAAGATATGAAATGATTCTTGATTCTGTGTATTTAATCACTGTGTGTGTAACAGTGACATAAGAGTTACTCTGTTTTCTGTGTGTCTCCAGTACCCACTGATGGTGATCATGTTAATCAATGGAGATATTTCTCAGCTCATCAGCCTTACCTCCTTTTCTCATTGGTTCTTCATTGCCTTGGCAACCTTGGGGATGCTCATCCATCGATATCGTTTCCCCCTCCACCCTAGACCTTTTAAGGTTAGCATATTGTACTGAATTGCAAAGCCTTTTTGTTAAACTGAACAATTTATTGGTTTGTTTGTTTATGTATTTGCTACATTGTGGTTATTAACATTAAGGTGCCGTTGGTCGTCGCAGTCATCTTCACAGCGGTGTCTTTCTTCATTGTGGGTCTCTCTCTTTACTCGGACCCTTGGAACACAGGATGCAGTTGTATCCTTACATTGTCTGGGGTTCCAGTTTACTACATGACCGTCTACCACTTTTGCTTGCCCCCCACATGGAGGCAAATCTTCAGTAAGTCTCATACCTGCAAAGCATTTGAAGTCCTAGTCCATCTGTTCTGCATACTGTTACACATTCAAAGCATCGTGTCTGAGTCCCTCACAGAAACACGTGGTTGTTGTGAAAACACTGCGTCACTGCAGTTTTGCCTTAAAATGTATTATCCAGATTCTTTTGATGGGGAAGTCTAGCACCTGTTTGCATGTAAAATCTAGGTGGTTTTCCATCAGCTGGAAGTGAAATCATGCAATATGCATACTCATTTTGTTACAAAACACCCATGTGAATGAGGAAGTTAATGACAGAAATCAACTCCTTGCAGAACATGGACACTTTTATTTATAGTAGTGCTGAAACTTCTATACTCCTATTGCTATCTTACAAATACCCATAAGTCCAATATAAGAGGTGTAAGCAATAATAATAGAATGATAGTTTTATTATTTATTTATTTATTTTATTTTGAAAATACAGTGACCACAATGTGGATAACACAGGAAGCACAAAGTTTTCCAGTTTTCCACGTAATGCACTTTTTATTAAAGATTTGATTTATTAAGGGAAAAATGTTATTCAACAAAGACGAATGGGCCAAAATTCCTCCACAGCGATGTAAAACACTCATTGTCAGTTATCGTCTTAATTGCAGTTCTTGCTTCTAAGGGTGGTACAACAACTACTTTTTCACACCGGGAAGGTTTGGATAACATTTTTGCCTTAATAAACAAAATGATCATTTAAAGACTGCATTTTGGATTGATTGGTGTTATCTTTGTCTAAGATTATACATTTTTTGAAGAAACATGGGAAACATGTAAGTGTGACCAAAAAAATAAATAGAAGAAATCAGGAAGTGATACAAATACATCTTCACAGCACTGTATGTGAAACACGAACCTTGGGCTATTATTAATCATCAGACTCTGAGCTGGGTCAGACCATTCTTTAGGAAGACAGAAAGACAAACATCTTAAGAAAGAGAGGGCTTCTTGACCTGTGCATAATACTGTTTCTCCGATATTCCCAGATTATTGCAGCAAGCAGCTGCAGATCCTTCTTGAAGTGGCTCAACAGGAAGTCAAGACATGCAGATATCCTGCTTTCTACTTATATACTTCCTGGATAGCATCTTGACAGGTTCTAAAATTTTTGGAATAGCAAAGGGAGAAATTAAACAAAAAGCAAATCCTCAAGGTGACTGCTGATGGGATCTTGAAGCTGCCAAGATCTGTAGGAGCCATAAAACATTGTTCTATCCGAAGGCTGTGTTTTATTCCTGTCATGGTTCCTTTAGATCTTTTTTTTTTTTTTTAAAGAACTATTGGTTATTTCATGTTTTTCTTTTGCTGTCACTGAATATTTTAGAATGTTTTTCTTTTTAACCCCCCTTTTTGTTTATTTTTTAAATAAATCTTGCTTTTTTTCTCTTCTATATTCACCTACATATTCATATTCTGTGTCTGCATTGAATAAACACAATATGTTCACGTCTTCAAATACCAGAGTGCGTGTCGTGCGTTTTAATCATCTTCTGGAGCATGATCTGCTACTCCGCTTCACATTCCTCCCATACTTCCACCCGGTCACGGTTCTCCCACGGGGATTCTCGATTGTTTAGGCAGAGAACTTCACTTTTCTGCTGCAGGAGAGAACGAGAGAGCTGGAAGGCGACAGGAACTCACTTTCATGTGAGTGCTTATTAGCAGTCAAGGATGCCAATCCAAGATTTGGTAAACAGCAGTTTCTCCCTTTCTGGATTTGGAGGATTTCTGGTGTTTGCCTGAGGATTGGTTATGTTACGGTAAAAACATAATCAATTGACATGAAACAGGTTCCTCTCTTTAGCATTAGCCTTTTATTCGACCCAAGATAGGCAACTGAAGCACAGCAGAGAAACAGATAAAATGAGCTTCTGGATACGCAGACTTCCCTTTAGTTTCCACTTTAGCGCACGCATTTAAATGCCCTTAAAGACAGCTCGTTTCCCCAGTTTGTCACTGAAAGTCTACGGGCGTGGATGTTTGAATGACACCTGGATGATGGTCTTGAAGCAGCGACGTAGTCTCTGTCTGGTTGCTGCAAACTTGGAGGTGGAGGAGGTGTGGCAAAAAAGAGAGATGAGGAACAAGAGGAGAGCGCTGTTGTTCCGTCACAACTCAGCGTGTCCGGCTCAGTCAGTGTATTGTTGAAAACGGGAGGGTCGGGCTACATTCCGCATTAGTTGCAGAAGTAGTGCCATCATTGGGGAACTTGGCCGCAAAGTTTCGTTGGGATTGATTCGTTTTATGAGAGCTGAAGGGGCGAGCGAATGGAGAAGCACAAAGGTAAGAGGAGAGGTTTTGTGTCAAGAACATGAGAAAGAGCTGCTGACTTCTCGGGTGGGATTGGTGACACTGCTTTCTTGTGAACTATCTCTTTACGCATATATTTTAAAACAGTTGTAATAAAAAGTGGTACTGTGCAACACGCAGGGTAGACAAAAACTGGCTTGCGGTGAATAATTACTCGTGATTTTTACATGGGCGAATCTGCTGCTGTGACTTTATATACTTTCGAAATGAAAGATTAAGAAAAGCATCTTCAGATAAAAGTTGTTTCGGTTGTGCTTGTTCTGCTCTGCTGTGCTGTGCTGGAATAACACACTGTTTTCAACATGTGGATCATTTAACTGTCGGTCACCTGCCACTCATTAAGGATGTAACCAAAATAACCCGGGACACGAATATGGCTTTTCCATGACCATTCAAAGTTGGGTTCCATAAAATTGTTTACACTGTGGTTTCTGATGAATTCCATTAGCTGCAACATCGTTCTCACAGCATTCCTCGAATTCCTGTGGTTATTTGCTCGCGAGGGGATGAGCAAGGTCGTTTTAATGCTTCCTGATTAACACAATCAGAGTTTAAAATAAAGTTAGGTGAATCTCACCTCGCTTGCCTAACTGCAAAAGAAAAAAAACAAAACATCGCTCTTTGGACCTCTGCACTGCTGAGAGGAGTGACTGTCCGACTCCTGGCTGGAGTAGAAACAATGGCAACTAGTCAAAAAAGTCTTGCTCCCACATTCCCGTTTACCAGCTGACTGGTGAGCCCAGACTGCTAACTCCCACAGCCCATCAGATTACACAGTCAGTGTTTCAAGCAGCCACTTACAGAGGTGTTTTATGCGTATGTGCATTTTTCACCCACTGTGGGAGAATACCAGCTAAGGCTTTTGACTGATCGTTTTTTTCTGTTCTTTTCACATATCCCTTATGTTTGTTTTTGTCTTAGCTGAACACAGATATATCTGGAAATGTTTTTATTGGGCTCAGAGGAATTTTCCTCTCTTTTGTTACCCGCCCTTCCTCCCAAGATTATGACAGATAATTTGACAATGACAAAAACATCAATGATATAATGACACGTAATAACATGTAATAACATCCGTCGCCCTCATGTAACAAACAGTGATGTTGTCATGTTTTAGGACCGATGATATTACAGCGATCGTCCACCAGAGGAGCCACGTTGCTCACTTCACCGCCTGCTGTGTGTGTGTCAGTGGTTTTAAAAGTAGTAAGAAGTGAGATTTGCACCACTTTCATTTGATGCCTATCAGGTAATCCTGATAGGGGATAAAGGTGTTTAAAATGCCAATGATTTGATGAATTATGAGTCAGCAATCAAGGGGAGGCAGAGGCAACAGACTTGCAGTGGGGATGTAATTGATTAGAGAAGGGCAGAATTGGGAGGGTAAGAAACAGGCTGCAGAGAATGAGTCGGTGTGTTCAGGCTGAAAAAAAGGGAAAAAAGCTGGACTGTACCTCTTTTGGCAGCGCACTAGGACAATGAATTACTAACAGCCACAGGCAACCATTGGAGGGGGTACAGTAAAGGGAAACCTGGGAAAATTCAGGGAGGCCGATGACAAGGAAAGGTATTATTTAGTATTCTGGAAATGTTTCGTGCTTCTGAAATCTGACTCGTTCCGGTTTTCTTCCAGAGAAGCAGCCCAGCAGCTCATGCCACTGATTCTCACACCTTGTGCCAGAGATGAGGATCGAATTAGTTCAGCCACCTGAAGCTTTGTTTGGTTTCCATGACCTCTGGGCTGTCGTGAGACATATTTGAGAATCGATTATTACAAAAGAGAACGCACACTTCTGCAGCTCAGCCAAGAGACGATTAGAGCCCTTTTTACTCAGCCATTGGCCCTGAGCTCGCTTTGCCCTGCACCTAATTAAAACCCACATGCTGGTGTTTTAGCCCACAAAATATTAAATAATCAGAGCGGTCGAAATAGTTATACAGTCCTCTTTTTTCACAGATTACTTACTGATACCAGATGTCTTGTTAACTGTGTCTTTATCAGCTGATAAATGGATGAAGTCCTTATACACCATCATATTTTCATAGTATTGGCTTGACATAGAAATTATACATTCATAATATACAAGTGGAACTATAGAAATAATTAAAGTGTAATTCCACTAAATGTTCCCATAATGGGAATAGAAGCATATGTTTATTTTCATCTAAGATCCTTTCCAGTATTTATTATCTTCATTTCCTTGTCAATCAACGGCTTCCACCTAATGCCCTTGTTTATTTAGCCTTCCATGCTAATATGGATCCCAGCAATTTGTGCCTAAAGCTATATGCTACATATGCCTGGCTTCCAGTTCTTCACAGCTGCATTTCACCCATAAAGGCGACGGCTTCTTTTCTCGCCTCAGCCATCAGTCTTCTTCTCCAGCAGTGATCTGCCTCTGGGACTAGTTCCAAAAGAATATGCAAGAAAAATGGAGGCATGCTGAAAGATGTGCTTGTGGACATTGTTGGTTTAGAAGATTATGCAGAAGACTCACAGTTTAAAACTGTATGGCTCTGAGGAGTGGTGGAGCATAGTTTTCAAAAGTTTTAAAAGTTTGCATTAAAACAAGAATGTGCTGCCATGCGAATGAAGTGATATTTAGGTGAAATTAGTGGAGAGCCCTCTACAAGCTGGAGCAAAGGCACCCCTAAAGGCACAGGTAGCTGTAGGATTTGGACCCACAGCACAGTCATATTGGTGTTCAAACAGGTGCGATGTTTAGTCAAAGTTTAGTCAAGAAGAACCCATTAATATCATTTGTGGTCATTTTGCTCAATTCAACAACGAGTGCTTGTATAACACAGGAGTGACCAAATCTAATGTATTTTTAACCATAAGTATTTGTGTGCTGTGTGTGGCTGCAGTGAAAGACGCTGTGCACAAACCACTAAATGCTGAAAAGCTATTTTCACTTTTCTTAATCTGTGTATGCCAGTAATGGCACACTTTTTATTCCAGTGCCACAAACGCCAAACCTTGAAAACTTCTTCAAGTTCAAAATCCCATAATTTATCAAATGAAAGGAAGGGATGGAGTTGGAAATAAATAAAATTCATTGAGCTTAATTCACATATTATTTTTTGAACAGTTTTACAAATCCAAAAGGCACCGATCCCCTCCTAAATGTCTTTTTAAGTAGGTATCTCCATATTAGCATGCTCTTCAGTCTGTCAGCACAGATCATGGCAATCAATTTAAGGTGCTTTTCAGCGCAGCTTAACAATATGAAACTGTCAGTGGGTCTAGTGGGTTTGACCTGCTATCAGCTCAGCAGTAGCTTGCTTAGATGTCGACCATTAGAGCTGGCATGGGGTCTCCTGGTTCACTCGTATGTGTGTCATGGGATGAACTTGCCAACGGGGAGTGAGTGAAGTGTGGGTAATTCAGGAAGCTGGATGAGGCTATAAAAATGATGAAAAGAAAGGCGGTCTTCCTGTTCTGTGTGAGTTTGGCTCTTTTTGCCCTCTGGCTTGCACTCTCGCCCATTTTTAACACATCAAACGTGTCTTTGGTTTATGGATCCAGCTCTGGATCAACCTGTACTTTGTTTGCTTCTCACCAGGTACACTTTTGTTGGAGAAGGTACACTTGTAATCACACACTCATATGCACAGTCTCTCCACGAAGGCATTCTTGGCAACCTTTCTGTGGGATATTTAACTAAGCGGAGAAACTTTAATGTGGCTGGACTGAGGCTGGGAATTGCCGCTTCTAGTCTGTCACTTTTTTTGTATCATTGAGTCAAGAAGTTTGACACATTCCTAAAGCTTTGTCTTTTTTTCTGAATTAATCAGTTTAGCGCTACTCACTTAAAAGCCACACAAAGTGATACATACATGCATACACACATCACACCAGAGAACGGGGGTGTGAGGAAAGCGTTTGAGGAGAAGCAGTGAGGGGGTTTGAGTGAAGGATGCAGGCGGGGTGGTGGATTAAGAAGGGGACGTGGA